AATAATAATAATAATAATAATAATAATAATAATAATAATAATAATAATAATAATAATAATAATAATAATAATAATAATAATAATAATAATAATAATAATAATGATAATAATAATGATAATAATAATAATAATAACAATAATAATAATAATAATAGCAATAATAATAGTAATAATAGGAATAATGATAGCATTAATAAAACAGGGATAATAGTGATAAAATTGTTTTAAAGATTTGATATCAATGATACCAATCTTCAAATAATACCAATCGAATTTCTGATTCCTTTTGATTTAAATATTTATTAAATAACTCAATCAGGCTAGTAACCAAAATGAAATTCATAGCTAGAGTTATGCTAACACATTGATCTGATACATGGAACAAATGTTGTTATCATTCCCTTAATTTTAACCAAGCGGTAAATTAAAAGGAAAAATTAGGCTGCTAACATCATCAATATCATTCTCGAAAATTCTCCCCTCTCCTCAATTCTGCTCTTATCGTAGTTTGCTATCATATCATTGCAAACGAAAATATCCAATCTACCGCCTGCCATATCCACAGTTTCCAGTAAAAACTCATTGAATAGCTTCTTCTAAAAATAATGTAGTAGGTGTGAAATTTCGAATTAACTAATTAATTACAGTAATTTAAATCGCGAATCTTATTTTTTAATCTCTTATTTATCATTTTGGTTTTAACTGCTTGTGATAAAAACCTACTTCATTATCATATCATCACCTTTCGTTTTTTTTGCATTCTAAGTGTGACTTTCTAAGTATTTGCAAAAGTTTATATTTCACTTAGAAATCATTCTAACTAAAAATAGTAATTTTCTAAGTAAAGTGTAATGATTTTTATCATTCTAAATGATATATATTAATTTTTAGCATTAAATTTCGTTTTCAGTATGATTGACCTACCTGGTATTTCGTTTTTTTAAGGTTGAAATTACTTTTAAATAGCAATATTCATCAACACTAATGTGCAAATTAAATGCTTTTATGTCAATTGAATGTTGTTGTTATTTATTTTAATCAATTAAAAAGCAACCAAGATTTTAATTTCTTGAAAATTAAGTTTATATTGCTTTGTAGGGTGGGCGGATGAAATACGATTGCATGCTTGTTTTTTCTGTGATATGCTAGGAATGACTGAAATTTTTATTGCAATAAATTTAATCAAAGGATTAATTTAATGATAAAAGGAAAAAAATCACCGAAAAAAGAAATTTCAAAGTCGGTTTCCTTTTCATCTTTTTTTTGCTGATAATATTAACATTTCTGATGCAATTTAACAAATGATTAGACTGAAATTATCACATACAAGAATCTCTTCCTTATCAATTTATCGGTTATTATGGATAAAAATTTTTCATCAATTTTGAATATATGGATGATTGATAAGTGTTTATATTAAATATATAGACAAGAATATATATATATATATATATATATATATATAT